CGAAGAGTGTTGAAGCTGGAACTCATCCTGCAAAAACTTCACGTTAACAGTAAGACAAGAAAACTCTTAGGATCCATCCTACATTCCTTCATACATCTTTATTAACTCCAAATAAGCATATGCAGAATACTGATAGTCTCGAAGCCTGCTTGTATCGAAAATGCATACATACATGCATAGACATGAATTCGCACACACATATGTACATACTTAGATTGGTTATGATTATATATATCACACAGGGTCGAGTTGGAATGTAGTTATGCACTTGTCTCATGATGTTATGACAGAAAATTTCTGTGATTTCCGAATCAAACTCTCGAATGGTCCGAGTCCCGAAATGGTGGCTTTAGCGAAATCCAACCACAAGATTTAGGAGAGCCTCGGCTGCCCTTAACCTCGGTCACGCAAAGGTTGCTGGTTGCATATGGTTAGTGCTGATGTCAATGTTCATGCTAATCGCTCCAGAAAGGCTCACAGGTCATTTGTCTCGGCCAACACAGGCTCTTGATTCGAGACGTGGCAGGATGGCGACAAGTTAAAATCTGCAGTTTGCTTCGATTTATTGTGCACTGAAGTGGTACAACAAAGGGTAAAAGCATGGGGATTTCTTCAACTCAGCGAAGGGAGAAGATGCTTCCGGATTTTTAAGCAACTTTCCTGTATGCATTTCATGGGAAGCGGAAAACCCACGATGGAAGGATGAATAAATCATGCAAATTTCCTAAGTTTCAAATTATATTTTGATGGAGAACCTACATTGTCTTTTCTTATTGGGCTTTGAGTAAATATTTTCCCTTTTTAACGTGACGAGGTCAACTGTAATGGCAGATATACGTTTGCTTCTGCGTTGCGGAAACATGTTCCATTCCCGAAGGTGATGCTGATGAGACCCAGGTAAAGTCAAAACGGCAGTAAATCTTGGATGAGACTACCTTTTAGGAGACAAGGCTGTTAAATTAAGTGGAACTGTGAGGCCTACTTGTATTGTCATGGGAAAATTCCATATATTATGCGACTCAGGATGAATACCTTTCTTCATCAAGAATGCTTTTCAGGTCCCCAAAGGATTTTATTTTTCCTCAAACAATGTTGCCAACTGCTACTCTCATGCATCAGCTAGTCTGTTCTGAACTTATTTTTTCTCGTCCGACCAATGCTGTCAACTGTTTAACTGTTTTGACTTGTGGGGTCCAAAGACAGACGACAAGCATGATGCAACAATATTTTCCTCAACTAATCAGCGCTCTTGAGATGCCATATATAACATGCCAGGCCAATAGCTTGTCAGTGTTTAGGTCTGTATGAATATGTTTACATAACTTTGCGTGTGTGTCTGTATGTGCATGTTTACTGCTCGCCTGTGAACTGGCAAGACCTTAATTTGAGTCCCCGTTGTCCATTGGCCAGAGTGGTCTCAGTGTCGTCATGTGAGGCTCAAACATTCGATGCGTAATGAATAGACTTTAAAACTCTTGGTGGGTCTCGAATAAGAATTTTTCTCTTTTTAACTCGCATAAAATAAGTCAACGTTTGTTCTGTCCTCCCAGTGGTAGCCATTGTTTTATGGTAGTTATGATTCCAGATTGGAGTACTGGGGGCAGCCAGATAAGGTATGATTTTGAGGTGCAGT